ATGATGGTTAAATGTCAAAATGTGACATGACTGTAAAACTGAGCTGTAAGTCATGGTGATGGTGAGAACTAGATGAACAACTTCCCACACAGCCATGCCCTTGCTTCATGATTCTAGGAATACGTCCGCGTAGTTAGATAGTCTGTATTAATCGATGGTATGACGTAAGTATTGACCACACGCTGGGTTACGTTTTAAATAAGTTACATGGCTCTGTTCACAAACCGATCACTGATTCAGTTATTGCGTGATTATCATTAAGGAGAAACGTCCTTGCCATAACAATCTATAAGGATATGTTTAATGTTTTAATAAGTTTCACTTAATGAACGGACGTCTGACACAATGAGGCGCACTGCTTAGCATCAATGTTGGCAGGTTCGATTATTAAATCTTTTTGTTGCAATCTTTCAAGCTGCCGGAGTATTTGTTCTGGTGCCGCCATTGTGGTCTGCATTAAATAGATAAGAGGGTTGATGACGACGTACTTCCTGGTAACGTCTTCATCGTGACAAACACATGCACCACAAGAAACAAGTAACAAAGTCCGTTTGTGTAATATATAGAGGGTCAATTTCAGCTGTGAAAGTTATCCAGGAAAATACATTCTGAAAGTGAACACCCGTAAGAAACTACGAAAAACATGCAGAAGTAATGATTTATTTTAATACGTACAAATATGCAAATCATTACTCGGAGAAGGAGATGGGCTGAGAAATAGTTCATGAAGGAGTCAAATTGTTACATGGTAACGAAAGAGTGCCCAATCAGTCATTTACCTGAGCCGTTTATACGATTCCGCCTATATTATGTGCATGGAAAATAATGCAGTGCAATACTTTTACGGCGATGTTACACCAGTGTAATGGTTTACAAGTATGATGTCACAATGCTAATCCCCTGTCACAATGGCATTAGACCTTGCTTGACTCGCGTAAAGCTGACTCATCACACTGTAGGCAGTTTCTATCTATTTATGTTAGAGAGTTATAAACAGAACACTTAACCCGCTTCCTTGGGATACCAATTTTCGCTCGTTTGATACCAACTCATTAACTCGTTTAATAAAACTGGTATTCCACGGAAGGTCGTTTAGTATCCTCTATCTATCACATTACACAGTATCTAATTGTGTAAGTCTTTTGAGATGGGCTTTTTCACTAAGCATGAAGCACTTACTGCATTTGTTTACATTAGAATCTTTATTATTAAAAGCATTACAGAAATGAACACCTCATTGACAGTGATGTACATGTCTATATTCTAAGCCGAGAATATCTTAAATCGATTCACGTAAAGAAACAGAATCAATGAAAGATGAAAGTGTAATGAAGAAACAAATGAAAATCGACTACACTGACATATAAAATAATAATAAACTTCTTGTTACTCCGTCGAGACAGATTGATTCAGTCAGTAAGATGTTGGGATATGTCTGTAAATGGCAGATGGTTCCATAATTGAATACTCATATAACAAAACATGGCAGCTCAGTAATATTGTCTCAGTCGATCAAACGAGCCTTAAGGTCTCATGCATTGAAGTGACAATACATTATCTCTTACGTCAAGTTGTAAGACCAAATAAATCTAGATGGACGTATAGAAACTCGCGATGATACAGCTCTAACAGTGCTTATGTATAACAATGAATTTCAGTGTCGATTATCTGCTGAAACAAATTCCATTGGATGTTAATGGCAAAATATATATTAACATTGAATGAATATGAACTGATCGCTGAAACTGAACAGTATATGTTTCGATTATTATTTCTACAAGAGTTGCTGTAGGTATTGTGTCAATCCAACCGCGGAAGCTACTGTTTGTTTCCACGTATGTATATCTTCCCTTTGTTTCTTATCACTGTATGGATTTTATAGATACCATATTGCTGAAACACAGCCGATGTGAGTTTAAGTTTTAACTCACTCAATTCTTGTTCTGGTGAGGAGATGTTTGCGAAGGGCTAACATTCCCGAACATGACCATCATAATATACCTGTACCATCAATTTGGCATTTGGTTTACTTCTATATTTAAGCTCAATTAATGTCGTGAATTTATCAAATATCACAACTTGTCTTGTCGATTAAGGATATTTGATGATTATATTTTAGCATGTCAGAAATTTGACAAAAAGTAACAAAAATGATTTCCATGGGTGTTCAGTGGTTTTCCGAATTAATTGAAATAGTCAAAGATTGGTCGCAGTGACCAAATGACCAAGCAATCGATCACATTTTCTTATAATCAAACTCGAACAATTTTGGAGCAACTGTTTTAGTATTTGAAACACTTGACGATGGAACATATCTTAGAATTTGTCAGGGCCCGAAAACGTGTTTAATTGTCAGAAAAATCAGTTTACTAACTGAAAAGTCAAGACTGAATATTTCTTGACGACTCTGGGAACTTTATGTTTATGTCCTCACTTTAAAATAGCAAGGTGCATTATTTTACATTGCGTGTTAAATTTGCAAATGCAATTTGCGCAGTTTCTACATAAAGCAAAAGACAACAGAGAACTATGTTATACTTATCTGCAATAACAACCTTAACACATACATTGTAAAACTGACCATAAACATACTTCTTTAATTATTGCTCGTTGGTAATGAAACAATTATCAATTGTAAGATTTCGAACACTAATTACCAGCATGTCAGAAATTTGAAATTCATGATGACGAAGTCAATATCTATCGTATCAGGAAATTTGACATTAATTATTTGTATATCCTGATTATGGATATTTGATCTACACTTGTTTGATGATGTCAGTACCAGTCTCTAGGGTATCAGAACATTTCACAAAAATGTTTTCCTTCATGAAGGCTTAATGTTATTGCCAAATGTATCAAACTCAAAATAATATTTGTATTGTATATTTTTACTTATTTATAGTTTATCTGCACTCGTTTGATGACTGTGAAGTCAATGTAAAGGGAGACGGCCTCTTGCAGAGGTAACCTTCTGGGAACATCGAACAGACTGTCGTCATCGTCGGATATCTGAAAAAGACACAAAAAAATTCAATTTCATTAAAGTGACTGGTCAGCTGTAAAATGAGGCCATACTTTCTCATTACACTGACACTACCAGCACAAATGTATACCTTGAGTATACCTTGAGCACATTTACATCTTTAATTGTTTTCTCAGCTTGAAGGTGGGTAGCACAGTGGTTAAAGCGTTCATTCTTCACTCTGAAGACCTAGGTTCGTTTCCCCACACGAGTACAATTGTGTGAAGCCCACTTCCAATGTCCCAAGCTGTTGCTTAAAATCGGCGTGAAAGCAGACTAACTCACTCACTCAGCGCAATTACTATAATCAGAAGGCTATTGAACAATCTATATTTTCAAGACTCACACACTACACCACACCCCCAACCCCCAAACACACACACACACACCCAAACTCACTCACTCACTCAACAGTGGTGTAGTAGCACAGTGGTTATGTGTCATGCCATTATAAAGGTTCTGAGGTTCACCACCGTGATTTAGATTCAGTCCTCCTCATTGACTAAGTTCCTAAACAGATGCTGCAGCACACCTCATTTGCATGTTTGTAGTGTCACATATCCTGCCAGAACCTACCAGAAACTGAGTCTCAGTCATCTTGATTGAGAGGACTGACGTCACTTTGGTGTGAGCACGGGGTTGAAAAACCTCACTTCAGCTCCCCATGTGAAGGACGCCCCAGCAGTATTGTAGATGATGGTATAGGGCGACCACCGAACAGTCAGATAAAACACAGCCTTATCGTCATCCTTGGCCAACAGAAACATTACAGGGCTGAAAAAGATGCATTTACCAGATATGAAACCATAACTCAAACGTTCTCTGTAATTTGTTTTAGTCTTAGATGAGGTATTGGTTTGTTCGGTCAGCATCGGTCTATGCAACTGAGATATAACAGTCATCAACCAAGTCAGCTGGCCTGATCCTGTTTGTCACCTCTCACAACAAGTATGCTTGCTGGAGGACGACTCTGTGGTGGCTGACTTGAAATGGATGACTTTTTCCCATTAAGGTCACACACTCACATGATTAGAAACATCCACAGGCATTAAAAAACACACTTATTAAAATGTTGACTATTGTACACTTCACAAACACATACCTGTTGACTCCATCTGCGGCTGCCTCCACGACAATCTCCGCACCACTAGACAGGGGAGCAGGAAGAGACGTCCTGAATGCTGGCACCTGTTGTAAAGAAGACAGTGAGCAGGTGTGTGTTACATAACAACTAGACAGGGGAGCAGGAAGAGGCGTCCTGAATGCTGGCACCTCTTGTAAAGAAGACAGTGAGCAGGTGTGTGTTACATAACAACTAGACAGGGGAGCAGGAAGAGACGTCCTGAATGCTGGCACCTGTTGTAAAGAAGACAGTGAGCAGGTGTGTGTTACATAACAACTACACAGGGGTGCAGGAAGAGACGTCCTGAATCCTCTCACCTGTTGTAAAGAAGACAGTGAGCAGGTGTGTGTTAAATAACAACTGGACAGGGAAGCAGGGAGAGGCGTCCTGAATACTCGCACCTGTTGTAAAGAAGACAATGAGCAGGTGTGTGTTACATAACAACTGGACAGGGAAGCAGGGGCAGACGTCCTGAATACTCGCACCTGTTGGAAAGAAGACAGTGAGCAGGTGTGTGTTGCATAACAACTGGACAGGGGAGCAGGAAGAGGCGTCCTGAATACTGGCACCTGTTGGAAAGAAGACAGTGAGCAGGTGTGTGTTGCATAACAACTGGACAGGGATGAGGTACTGAATTATCACACCTGTTTTAAAGAAGACACGTGTTGAATAGCGACTTGGTAATATCATCACCCGATCCCCTTAGTCGCCTCTAAAGACAAACATGGGTTGCTGAAGACCAAATCTAACTCTGATCTTCACTTGTATTATTAACAGTAAAACGTGAAGTGATGTATGTATGGAAATATGTGTATAGACAACTGGTAGGTTTCCAGACATGTATCACTGTACCGGGTCAATCCAGAGGGTCTGCATGCACCGTCCTATGTCAAATGGTACGTTGTCATGGAAACATTTGCCTGATGTGGTCGGTAGATAGGTGAATCCGTTGGAGCAGCTGACATCCTCGTGGGTCTGGTTCCTCATCACCGAGAGGGCATTCAGGATCCGGAAGTCGCTGCAGGCAACTAAACACAACACAGATACCACATCAGTCTTGTCATGAATTCTTGTTGGTAATTCTGACCTGTCAATACAGTGCTGAAACAATAGTACTAAATAATATTTTGCTGCACAGTGAGATCTTTTACAGCCTGATTTCCCAGTTACCTTATCGTTTCAACTTGGAATCAACCGGTTACACGAGGGATGACATTATTTCTGGTTTGGAATGAAAGCACATTTCTAATGCTGTGTCATTTTACAGGAGGACCCACCCCTAAAGCTTGCATGGAAGAAAAGTTCTGGTAAATATTAAATATTCTACACTGGCCTCTCTGTTATTTAAAACTGACGAGCATATGATGCTTACCGACATAGCAACATTTGATACAGTAATCATATTCCTGTTGCGCCCAAGGTACGCAACTCCCAGTGAATTAGAAGACTTGGCCAACCGTGCTTCAGTTATACATAGTGGATTTGTTCGGTCCAATACATATTGACAAAGCAGTTTACGTGATGTGGGGGGTAATTAACGATAAATAAATCCATAATGGTTATAAATAATAAACAATAACAACAGAGATGTGTAGTCTATAACTGTTTTTATTGATAATTAGGTTGGGTCTGTTGGTTCTTGAATTAATAAAACTGTAGATGTTGTAGCAAGATATTAATACAGTCAACAACGGCCCTAACGAACTCAAAGGGTTAATTTCGTTATAACCATGGTTCGTTTTACGCCTTTGTTATATCTGTCAGTTCAGACCGTTCGTATTAAACGTAGTTCACTGAACAAAGAGTTAAAGACGTTGTTGGTTTGAACGTGTGACTGATGACACTATTATGTTGTGAAAGACACACAAACATTTTTGACAGGGGACACAGTTTCAATTGATGGATATGGCCAAGCCACTGTTACTTCCAGTGAAGGCGAGGGGAGGTACATCTGTTTCATAGACGGAATTGGCGGTATTATTCAATGTGACAACATGTTTTATCATCAAATACTGGTTTCCAGAGGAGATATCGCTTGTAGAAGATCAAGCCACTACAATTAAGACATTAAGAGACTTTGGCATCTGTCGCATCAAGAAAAACACGTCGAGGCTACCGTGGCGGACGTTGTCAACAACGGGAGGTTTCACGTCTCTCTTCAATGAAACTAAAACACTTAATTGGATCATGTACATACAAGGTACATACTTTGAAGTTTAGCACTATCAACTCAAGATCAGCTAAAACCTATGATTCCTCGACTGATAAGGCTCAGTCATTGTGTGATCTAATTGTAGACAATAACCTTGATGTTCTGGCAGTCAAGGAAACATGGTTACGTAAGGATGACACAGATAAGATTGCCATTGGCAAAATGACTCCTCCTGGATTCAAGTGCATTCAGGTGCCAAGGAATACCAAGAGAGGAGGAGGCGTGGCCATTGTATATAGAAAAACTCTACAGTGTTCAAGGATAAAACTCACAAATTGGGAGTCGTCCTGTGAAGTTCTAGCAGTGACACTCTCTGTAGATAATCAATCCATAACCCTGATTGTGGTTTACCGTCCACCTGGGCAAGAAGCAACTTTCATTCAATCTTTACCTTTGCTGCTTGACAGCATTGTGACACTTCCTGGAAAGTTACTCATGTGCGGTGACTTCAATCTTCATGTTGATATGCCACAGAGGAGAGACGTTGTAAGGTTCAATAATCTTCTTCAATCTCACGGTTTGCACCAGCATGTAAAAGAGCCCACCCACAGCAAAGGACATATTCTGGATCTAGTTATTACTAGAGACAATGAACTTGACATCACCGATGTCACACTGGACCAGTTAAGTGGGATCACTTTGCCGTTCTGTTCAACACGAACATCATTGCCCCAGGCGAGAAATACAAGAATTAGTGTTCAGAAGATGGAAAACTATCAATATGCCTAGCTTCAAACAAGATCTCGACAATGCCCTGGTACATCATGGGAACAGATCCGCTGATGAAAGTGTTGATCTGTACAATGAGGCATTGAAGGAAACTTTGGATAAGCATGCACCACAGGTATCAAAGAAAGTTACAATACACCAAAATGCCGCTTGGTACAATGACAACATACGCAATGAAAAACAGAAACGCAGAAAACTAGAACGACAAATGAGACGGACTGGACTTTCCATTCACAAACAGCTTTTCAATATCCAAAGGAATATGGTTACCTGTTTGATAGAGAAAACCAAGAGATGCTATTTTGTTGAGCAGTTAAATGGAGCTTCTAATGTTAAAGAGGTTTATCGACTTTCAAACAAGCTCTTGTTCAAGAAAACAGATAAAGTTCTACCAACCTTTGATGCACTGGATGAACTCGCAAACAAGTTTGCAAAGTACTTCAAAGAGAAAATTCAAGTTATAAGGACATGTTTGGAAAATCTCCAATCTGATACCTCGCCTGCATACAGCGAAGATATAGACTGTTGTGATTTTTCCCCACTGGCCTTTTTCGGTGATACAACTGAAAAAGAAGTGGGTGAGATAATTAAGATGAGTCCGGGTAAATCATGTTCCCTAGACCCCGTGCCAACATGGTTCCTAAAGGAGTGCCTTGACTCTGTTGCTCCTATCCTGATGCACACAATAAACACATCTTTCTCAGAAGGATCAATGCCACTGTCAATGAAGGAAGCTCTTGTCAGTCCTCTCATAAAGAAGAGCCAGCTTGACTCTGAGATAATGAAGAACTACAGGCCAGTATCTAACCTGTCGTATTTCTCAAAACTCATGGAGCGTGTTGTTGCATCAAGACTCAAAGAGCACATGGCATCAAACTGCTTGTTTGAAGTTATGCAATCTGCATATCGGCAAGGGCACAGCACCGAGACGGCGCTAGTTCGTGTGAAAATGACTTATTGTGTGCTGTTGATTCTACAGGAGGAGCCATCCTAGTCTTACTGGACCTATCCGCTGCGTTTGACACGGTAGACCACGGCATCTTAATCTCCATTCTTGAACGTAGGATCAGGGTCACTGGTCTAGCGTTAAAGTGGATCAGATCGTACTTATCAAACCGACATCAGTCAGTGTGTATTAATGGAACAATCTCGGAGAAGGAAGAACTTCAATTTGGAGTGCCTCAAGGGTCAGTCCTCGGTCCGATTTTGTTTGTCATTTATACATCACCACTTGGAGACATAGCCCGATCACACAACCTTGCTTTTCACTTGTACGCAGACGATACCAAACTCTACCTAGGTTTCAAGCCTCTGCAGTCGTCATCCTGCGATGCAGCATGTTCGGCAATTCAAAATTGTATTGCTGATATCCAAAAATGGATGACCAGACATTTCCTGAAGCTGAATCAAGACAAAACAGAAATGCTCATTCTCTGTTCAAGTTCAGCACGACAAAGGTTGTCTTCAATAAGACTCGAAATTAATGAGTGTATCATTGAACCAACTGATCATGCTCGCAATCTTGGGGTGATATTTGACAGCACTATTAGCCTTGAAAAGCACGTCAATAAAATGTGCAAGAATGCCTACTATTTCATCCGCAACATAGGCTTAATCAGGAAGTACATCAACCAGCAAACTGCTGCAACATTGATGCAAGCATATGTAGTATCTCGGTTGGACTATTGCAATGCTCTGCTGCAGGGGATTCCAGAATATCTTCTGAGCAAGTTACAGAGAGTCCAGAACTCAGCTGCCCGAGTTGTGACACGCACAAAGAAGACAGAACATATAACACCTGTTCTGATCACATTGCACTGGTTACCCATCCGACAACGTATCCATTACAAAATATTGATACTGATGTTCAAAGCCTTGCACAACATGGCACCAGTTTATCATTCAGACCTTGTGCAAGAATATCAACCAACATGCCATCTGAGGTCATCACAACAACACATGTGCCAGACAGTAGTCAGCCTGACCAAGACATTTGGTGAAAGGTCTTTTCAGGTTGCCGGCCCAGCTTTGTGGAACAAATTACCCCTCTCTCTTCGATCAGTACAGACATTCAGTATTTTCAAATCCAGATTAAAAACTCACTTGTTCAGCATTGCATACGGAGTTCAGCAGCGCTCTTGAGCAGTCTTCTGAAGACTGGATATTAGCGCTATATAAATGTATATCAATGTAATGTAATCAAGTGATATCTCCTAGGAGATATCGTTTCGGTAAGGTTTGAGCTAATTACTGATTGGTTAATATTTTTTGACTACTTTCATCTACCTCAGCTGTAAACAAAGTCATTGCTGCAATTAAGTCATTTTTGACAGGGGACACAGTTTCAATTGATGATATGGCCAAGCCACTGTTACTTCCAATGAAGGCGAGGGGAGTTACATCTGTTTCATAGACGGAATTGATTGGACAGTGGAAGTGATGGAAACTCGGTTAGCATAAATTGTCCCACCCACCTTGACAACATTAGGTGAGCTGACGTCATCATATACAACATCAACATATACCTATACCACAACATCGTCTACAAGTACAACGTCTCCTGCTAACATCAATATAAACTCAAGATGTTGACAAGCATATACAGATGTGAGAAAACAAAAACACCACTCGAAAAACTCTCCGTGACACGGATCTGGTGGCCCAGTTTCTCGTCGGGCTTGGCGAAACACGCCCTATTCACGGCCTTCCCCCCGTGGAACTCATGCAACAACTATCTCTGCAAATTTATCATTTCTACCAAAAGGCTCGATGGTAATGAATTGACTTGAAAGTGAACAGTGATGGCCGGGAATTCCTAGAACATACTGAGAGGGTCTCCAAAACACGCCTGGGGATCAAGCCGATCCGGGTTGTCAGTCCAAAAATGTGGACTCGGTCGAGTTGTTTAAGCCTAACAAGCGCTTGCGTCTGGTTGGCTATAGATACCCCGAGTCTCCATTTTATGTGTCCTGCACCACTGTAAAAAACCCAACTGTTGACTCGGTGTGGTTCAAACGACAACCAGTTGGCATCCATAAACTGGAGTCGTTCATGAAGCGTATGTCAACAGCAGCTGGTCTGTCAAAT